AAGAGAATTTTCCCCAGAGGTTCTAATATCTGCTTCTTCCTTGTTGATGGGGGACGGTTTACACCTAATGGGTGGTTCCTTCTTGTTTCCTTTGAGGGAAGATAGACGCAGTGTTTCTATTGTTCTAATGGACCGAACATTTGGAAGAGAAACTAAGCTTGGAGAGAGAACATGCTTTTCTTTGTTTCCATACCTGCATTTGATAGAAACCCACAACCTTATTGAAGACATTCTATTGAATGGGTATACAAGAGGAAGGAAATGAAATGAGGAAATCAAAGTCACTTGCCCCAATATTTATCAAACCAAAAATGGGAAAGAAGGAAGAATCCATCTCATGCCTGAAATAAGTACATCATCTAATTCTACCCCTTTTTTAAAAAAAAAAACTGTTAACGTTTGTATTGAGATGGTACCGATTGTACCATTATAAGTGAACTAGTTCTAATCCATTATGTGTTCTATTGGTTGTAACATTATAAGCTAAGTATTGACTTATAATTCATATGGCACAACGGATAAAGAGATCAGGAAATAAATCAAGTACATAAGATGGATTATTGGAGAGCAAACATAGCATTAGATATTTGTGGTACCAAATATGCAATGTCAGTACATGGAAACCTTCAAAGGAAAACAAATTTAAACACCAATAAAAAAATCAAAGAAACAAAATATCATGATTTATGACAATATACCACACACAAGCTGTGTATAACATACATTACAGAGCCAAAAGTCCAACATTTGTCCTCAACAACAGAGAGTAGAGATTAACCATACTGGGGTATGTCCATTATCTAGAACTAAGCTTCATCTTCACCATCCATTTATGAAATGGAATATAGATCCCTGGCTATGTATGATACGCTATACCCAGGCCGTGTATGCCAACTTTCACTAGCACAATAATATACAACATAAATCAGTAATTCAAAGATAGATAAATCTGAAAGATTTTGGGGTTGTTTGCAAAGCAACAGAAAAAAAAAAAAATCAGGTTACCTTGAAAAGGCAGAGGCATTGAAATGATTCAGCATGCACCGTTCTCAAAGGTCTTTCACATCTATGCAATTGGGTTCAGGCCTTTTAAGAGAGAGCTCCCAAAGTGGCACAGAACAATTACCGACTTTTCTACAAGATGATTTTATTGCTTCTCTCTTTTCTCTATCACCAAGGCAACATTTTGTGTGAATAGAAATGACCCCAAAAGAGTCATTGGTTTCCTGAAATTTGTCGTTTCCCTCATCACTATGAATATGAAGTACACTATATGCACCCATATCAGCATCATGCGTGAAGTTTGTAGAAGCTGCATCCTCATATGCATTGTTCCCCTCGATCTGCTTGGTTGATGTAACTACTTGACTAAAAAGAGTAACTCGAGCAGCTATTCCTGCTGATTTTTCTGCAGAGGAATCTCTAATAATCTGCAATTTTTTCTTGATTGGTAGTTCTAAAAGTCCATATTGTTGGTCAAAGAGAACAAACTGTTCCAGCAAAGAACTATACATATGCATGCACATGCACATGCACATGCATATATATTCAGGAATAGAGAGAGAGAGAGAGAGAGAGAGAGAGAGAGAGAGAGAGAGAGAGAGAGAGAGAGAGAGAGAGAGAGAGAGAGAGAGAGAGAGA